GCTTGGTTTATGCTTGAAGTCATTTTGGGCTTTGGAAAAACAGCTGTTTTCTACTTCCTCTTGTTGTTGTCAGCGTTCTGTTTGTGTTGAACACGCCCCTTTTTACTGTGACTAAATGGATCTTCTATCTTAAATCAATCTGACTGGATGATCTGGTGAACTGTAAAGTGCCTTGAGATGACATGATGTGAATTGGTGCTATAGAAATAAAACGAAAAGATTCAGATGTCAAACAGAAAAAAAGTTAAATTAAATAGTTTATCCTGTAGTTTAGCCTTGATTTCAGCCTCTTGTAGCCCAGTAACTGTTAATCTGACAGACCAGTCAAACCAGTTAAACATCTGGGCGGCGCCACAAAGCAGATATTAAGGTCAGTGTTTAACTTCAGAGCTTTGCTGGTCAGTAAATATCCTCCGTCTTTCCTCCCACATCCTCAGGTTTACACATGCACTTCTCCGGAGTGTTTCGGTCCAAAGGCGACAGAAAGTTCTGCCGAGTCAAAGGAGCCGTGAAGCGGCGCCCACATACCTGCATAGGCGTTGAGGCATTTTGCAAGAACGCCTAAAGGCAGCAGAGGGTCGATGAGTGTGAGCAGGCGGGAGGGCGAGGCGTCGGTGGTGAGCAGGGTGGCGGGGTAGGCAGCCATGATGCCGTCAGGGACCCGGATCCCGACCGTGAGGGCCTTCATGGACACGGTGATGCAGAGGTTTCCTCCAGCGCTGTCTCCAGCCAAGCAGACCCGCTCTGCAGTAGAACCTGGGATTCAGAGAAGATCCATGAGTCCGTTAGCTCCGACCTGTTCCTCCAGAACCACAGAGATGAGTCTCTGTTAGGTAGAAACCGGGCCGCTTAATGTACAGAACCAGCTTTTTAGTTATTTATTCTGAATAGGGTTGGATCAGAACCAACGGAACATAACACCAGAACCTTTATGTCATCCAGTCTAGAACCAGATTTGGGTCATTGCTATGAAAGTGGTTTCAGATTTCTGGCTTTGAGGAAAATGTTCACAAAGAGAAACTTAAAGGAAAAGTCCGGTCAGCAAGGAATGATCAACGGATAATTTTTTATATCTAAAACTAACATGTTTGCAGTGATTTGGTGGTAAGATTTAGTGAATTTAGGTTTTTTTTAAATCAGTAAAAAAAACTAAAAATAATTTTTGTCACGATCACAGAGTCTGGGAGCGGCCATTTTTGCCCAAATATAGTAGCCCCTCCCTCCAGCCATCTTCCAGCAGTGACGTCACGGTGCGGTAAGCCTAGCGCCATTCTGACTCGTTAGAAATCAACCTGCTAGATTTACAACAGCATTAAAACACCAAACTTTATTGTATTTCTATTGGCTTATCTTGAAAGAGTTTTTATTTGACCAGTACGTCCTTAAGTTAAGTCCGAATTAGTAGATAATCCATAAAAAAAATAATAATAAAAAATATAAAAAATAAATCTGGACTGCTTAGATTTGAACTACACTTTAAAATAAGAATAATAATCTTTCAACTCTTAGGCAGTTATTGTTTTTAAATTTCTATAGAGAAAATAAAAAGAGTTTAACCATATTTGGAACTCGGGACTGTAAAGATGTTAAAACCAAAATCTTATTAATCGAATGTTGATGGTTCTGTAACTTCAATTAAAGGAAAAGTTCAATCAGCAAAGAATAATCAATGGATCATTATTTATACCTAAAACTAACACGTTGACGATTTTGAATGAATTTAGTGTTAATCAGTAAATCAATAAAATAAAACTTTTGGTGATCACTGAGTCTGGGAGCGGCCATTTTTACCCAAAT